TCCAGCCTCCAGACTTGTGAGAAAGTTAATTTCTATTGTTGAAGCCACCCAGTCTGTGGTGTTAGATTATAGCAGCCTGAGTACCAGTATAGTACCCATATCCTGCATGCCCCCTTCATCTGTTTTTGTCCCAGTAACAAGCTCCTCAGTCTTGGGCACCCTCTTTAAGGGGCAAATGGCAGCTGAAGTGAGGAGGGAAACTGCCTCAGTAAAGGACAAGGGCCCCGGCCCAGAAGAGCTACGTTTTAGTCACCATTTCTCTACCCATGTGAGACTGGTGCCCAGGTATCTGCACAGTTTTCAAAACAGGGAAGAGCTGTCACAGTTTCTCAGGGCAGGCCCAGAAGGCAGAGCCAGAACCAGGACACACGTGTGAAAAGCTGTAAGGAGACAGATTTCTAACACAACATAAGGACGACTTCCTATTGGCTATCGATGATCAAAAATGGATCGAGCAGCCATGTACAGTGTCCACAATTCTGGAGAGAAGTGAGACAAACACGAAACACATGAGCCACCCCTGTCTCAGAAGTCTCCGCTCTGCTCTGCACCCATCTCTACTCAAAGCACTAGATCACGGGGCACAACCTCTTTCCAGAACCCTGCACTGTGGGCTGGGGCCACCCTCCGCTCCCCTTCCTACTCCCATCTCTCTGTTCTGGCTTTGACACCCACTCTCCATTCCAACAGCACCTCTCCCCTCAGATTTGAGGCATACCACTCTCTTCCCACCTTCCTGGTTCCTATGGTTTTTAGTTCCTGAAGGTTTCAGGCTGTCTTGTGGTATGCCTAACTGGCATCTGACTCCCTGGACTAGCCACCAGCCCTCTAGCCCCTACCCCAGCCTGGTGACAGATCCCTGACGTACCTGGAAAAAACATCACTCTCGGACCCATAGCCCGGCCACCCAGCTAAGTTATCTTAGGCAAGGTATTCAACCTCTCAGAATCACAGTTTACCTATCTGCCTCATTTATAATGGCAAAAAAAAATTAAAAACCCATATCCAACAATTGAGGGCATTAAATATTAAGGTATATGATCACGAGGGAATATTATGTATGCAGTCATAACGTCACAGAATTATTTAGTGATACAGAGAAATGCTCGTGAAATATTAAGAGAGAAATGAATTGCTAAGCACTGTTTATTATAAACACATTTGTTCTGTAGAAAAAAAATACCAATGCAGAAAGACTATATAATCATAAAGCTAAGAGTAATTATTTTCTAATTATTCTTTTTTTTATACTTACCAAGCTGTTTGTTAACAGTGAACACGTTAACACTTTTGAATGATTTTAAAAATATTTACCACTCTCATTCTGGCTTTTTTCTCCTCCAAGAAAAAAGAAAGGCAATAACCTATTGGCCTAGCAATGTAATGAGAAGGACACAGGGAGTTCGTGACACCAGGCTACCGATTCTGGCCCCCAATACCACATTTGCCATGCTTTGAACTTGGAGCAATAGGACAGCTAAGAAAACTGGGCTAACAGAAGGTCACTGCATGGGTTAGTGGCACGAGTGGACTGTCCATTCTTAGACCCCCTCGAATGGCTTTCACTGCCACCCTGCCTGATCTGTCCCTCTAGGAAGAAAGGGAGTGCCACGTGCCACCCATGGGGTCATTATCTAGCCACGCGGCGAGGCCTGGCTGCACATTGTGCTGTAGTGAAAAGCCTGCCAGCAGAGCCGCGTCCCCATTCATCAGGTTTTGTCCCCCGGTAATGAGCTCCTTTGGCTCCCTCCCCATGCTGGAAGGGAGCAGCCGCAGAACGGTGCCAGCCAGAGAAGCCCCTTGTGAATGGCCCATCTAGGAATCTAAGAGTTTGGCAGTGGCCTGGCCACAAGAGGCCAAAGCAAAGAGTTGTTTCAGTGGAAACTATCAGCTTGACTCAAGATGGAATCACTTCCCCCTGGGGTGTGTGGGGTCTGTGACGTGGCCACAGATGTGCAGAGGGCACCCATCTGGTGACACACTACACAGGCAGCCCAACAGGCAGGTCTTGTCACCAGTGACCTGCGGCCCGAGCACTCCATGGCTATCACCCCTTTCCCTGATGACACCCACAGGAAAGGATCCGCTGTGAACAAACTGGGTTTTACACATGCAATATTTCTGACCTCCAATCCACACTCACATTTTAGGCATATGACCAGACGGCAGGTCGTGGGCCCACTCTCTTAATCAGCTTTGCAGGATCTGGAACCAAACGGGACACAGGATATTCCAGCCCAATGGGCACACATTTATACCCACAGTCCCAGCGTCTGTCCCTTTAGATGTCCCTCCTCTCTGCAAAGACTTATGAGGCCATAATTCATATCAATTCCGTTCAGTGGGCTCCCCCAAAATGCTTCCCAAAACAAATTTAAGTGGTGTCAGGAAATAGCTCCCTATTAGAGGAGATAAATGCTAAAATAGTCTCATGATCACTAGCATGTTTTTAAGACTTGCCTGTACTAATAAATGCACGGACCAGTTATGCTCTGCCTTCTTAAATGACTCCTGTAGAATTTCAAACTGTGCGTGGAATAAAAGGCCACCTAGTGAGGCCAATCTGCAGAAGGCTTGCTGTCTGCTGCTCTGTGTAAACACAGACCCACAAAACCCATTCGGGGACATGCAGAGAGTCCATCTCCATGGCCCTGGGCTGTCAGGTTCTGGAAAGTGGCCTGATGGGCCAGAGCCACTAAAATGCCCATGCAGCACATAAACAGTAAACACGCCCAACTCTGAGTGCTTAACGTTTCTAGCGGGAGAGGGCGTCCACGTAGGAACTTGGCTGAAACGCTCTTCCCATCACAGACTCGCTGAAACCCCACAACTGGAGAAGCCCCCTTTGTCAGCACTACTGCACCTTCCCCCACCTCCTGCACCCAAAAGCAAACCGCCTCCTCATCCTAAAGCTTTGCACATATAAACCACGCCCCATCCAGAGCAGGCAAGCAGCCTAACTTGTCAGGGAAGACTTCTGGAAGAGGGTTCTGAGATCGCTGCTCCAGGCAGGAAGTCCTGAGCAGAGGTGATTTACCACTGATATCACTTGAACAGGAATTCTGGGAAGACGTTTTTCTACTTGATTCTATCATCCCAGGCAAGAAACTCAGCTTCTCACTTCCTGTTTCATTCTCTGTGCTCTGACTTCTATCCTTGCTGTTATCACTGCCAGAAAACATCTCTCCCAGGATCCTAGGGTGACACCCATCAAGCCAGAGACCAATCATGTGGCTGGGCCTCAGGAGACTATTGTGGGTACATGTTGGGTCCCATGTCCTAGTCAGCAATAATTTCACCTGGAGTAGCTTGCACTCAAGCTTTAAAAGTAGCAAAACGGGGGCTGGCTGAGTGGCTCAGTTGGTTAAGAGCACGAGCTCTGAGCAACAGGGTCACCGGTTGGACTCCCGCATGGGATGGTGGGCTACGCCCACTCACAACTAAGATTAAACATGGCACCTTGAGCTGAGTTGCCCGTGAGCTGCCCACAGGTGGCCGGATGGTGACTGGACTTGGAGCTGAGCTAGCTGCACCCTCCACAACTAAGACTGAAGGACAACAACTTGGCTGTTCCCCTTCCCCAACTCCCCAATAAAAGCTTAAAAAAAAAGTAGCAAAATGCAAATGATTTCCTTACTCCCCTCTTCCCATGGTGCCCACCTTCAGATATAATCATGGAAGCTGCTAGCCACATGGGGAGAGGGGCTGGCCATCACCAGCCTGAGCAGTCTTCTCCACTTTGTGCTCCATGCTTAGGGCCTGATGAGGCTCACAGGTGCTACCGTTCTCACCTTGAGCCTGCTCACAGAGGGCTGAAACATACATCTGCAACAAAGTTTTCAACACCAGCATCTACTCTCATAGCTGGGACAGAAAGGACACAGCATCAGCGTTCACGTGTGGAGCTGGTCCAAGCCCTCCGGCCTCAGAAAGCTTGGGCCACGGATGCTGGAAGCTTGGCAGATAAGAAGCTCTATGTCAAATTCTGTTCAAATTCTATTACAACCCAAACCTCCATGTTATAATGAACTTTATATCTCAAGGAACACTGCTTTGGGGGAAGCACAAAGCTTCCACAGGAAGAGTTAATGTTTTGAAAGCTAAGTGCCGGTGACTGGGGAGATGTCACACAATCCAACAGCTTGTGGGAGGCAAAATTATACTTGGTAAACAAGGGATGGAGACGCTAGGCAAGCTACCGCTCGCCAGGTAAGTGACGGTGCAAGTGCCCGGGAGCAATGACTGAGGACCAAGGACTCCGTTTGCTGTAAGAGCAATTCGCCACTCAGATATTTCTTCACCCCCACATCAGCAAATAGGCTTCCATCCTTTCAGGATAAAACATCAGAAACTCTTACAGTGCAAAATGAGTTTTAAAAAGCCACATGTACCTCATTTCTTCTGAAATATTCAGTTCCAACACGTTACCCTCATTACAGAAAAAAAATTACTTCAAGTCACCAACTTTGAATGCTACCAAAGGCCAGGAATGCAATCATCTCTCCCTTTGAGTTTCAACGGGACAATGACCAGATCGTTTTGATTATTAAAAATTGGGGTTTCCAATGTGTAAACCCCTGGTCTACCTTGGTGGCTCATGCCAGATATCCCAAAGCACACACCCACTCACACACACAGATAAATAAACATAAAACTCCTCCTGACCATGTCTTCCCACTCAAGGCCTGTTATAACGCTTTAGTACAGCAGAGCTCAAATTATGCACAGTGGAATCACGTGGGAGAGCTTTTTAGAAATGCCCCATACCCAGGTTGCACCCCAAGCCAACTGCACCAGATTTTCTGGGGGTGCAACTCAGACATCAGCTTTTTTCACGTTCCCCGAGTTTTTGAAGCCATGTCTCAGAAACACCGCTCTGGCGACATATGAAGGTCACGGGCCCACCTTCCCTTCCTTTGTCAACACGCCCAGGTAACGAACTAACGCAGCAGTGCATGAACCAAAGAGAACCGCGCGCCCGGCCCTGGGGCCGCTCCTACCTATGTAGAGAGAAGAATCCTTCCTGCGCACGTGGTCATCGATGTAGGAGACACCCAGGGGCTGCACGGGGGTAGCACCGATGCCCAGGAGCACCTGGGCCCCAATCAGCAGCAGGTACATCATGTTGGTGGCGGTCCGGCTGCGGCAGATGAGGTCTGGGTCAGGCCCCTGGTCGCCGCCTGAGCCGTTGGCGGCGCAGACATCCCGGCCCTCGGCGCCCCAGCGGATCTCGCCAGCCTCGTACTTGTACTGGTGCGTCAGGAACTCGGGCAGCGCGGACAGCAGCGCGCCCAGCGCCATGACGATGCCCCCACAGCCAATGAGACGCGGCCGGTGCCCACGCGCCCCAAAGTAGCTCACAAAGAGAATCAGCGCCAGGTTTCCAATCTCGAAGCTGCTGGCGATGACGCCCACGTCGGCGCTCTGCAGGTTAAACCTCCGCTCCAGGGTGGTAAGCACGCTCACCTGCGGGGGCAAAACGAAATTTCAATGCCAAGCCCACACACCATGGGGGAGTGGCGGAGGAGAGAGCCCTCTCCTGGCCTCGTGGTGCACCTGCCCCTCTCAAGCCCTCCCACCTGGAGGTTTGCACCAGATGCAAAAAAGGCACCTGTGCAAAGTGAATTACACGTGAGGAGCCCAAAAACTGTTTACCTAGTGTGATAACCCTAATTACACAATGAAAGAATTAACTTTCCCAACGGCTAAGAAGTTTGTCTTGGTACCTGTTTCCATCCGGAAAGGTTCTGCCTCTACTCACGTAGCATAATTTCCCCTCCCCCACAGCAATTTAGTGCCCATGTGTCCTGGGAACGTCCAGAAGTTCACAATTTTCACACGCTCCCAACTAGATCCTATTTATAAAGCCCATGCTGGGAGGGCCTCGGAGCCTGGGGCTTTTTCCCAGAAGGGTTAGCATACCTAACGAAAATACATTAAAACAAAACGGAACAAAATCCTGGGTGGCAAAAAAAGGGACAAGCAAGATGACCTCATTAGGATAACCATTAGCTCTTCACTTTCTTCTGGAAATTTCCAAGCAATGTTGGTGTCCCTAGAGGCCTGCAGGTAACTACATGCCTGATTGTTCCATGCCCTACAGCGCCGCCAAGGTCCCCTGGATAGAATATCTTTATGACTTTCCCACCTTTGTGTTTTGTCTGCCTTACATTTGTTTAATAAATATTTACGGAATATCTGCCGTGGGCGTGATGATGCCCGAGACACAAAAGATAGTAAAAAAAAAAAAAAAAGGGGGGGGGAGATGACGTAACAAAGGGACTGTATGTCATATTCATGATGCAAACATTACACTAGGGGTGTCAAGAGGAGGTACATTATTTAAGGCTTCTTGAGGTGGAGAGAAAATGTGAAGGGTTTTCCTCTCCTGCTATCATATTTGCAGGTTCCACAGAGGGTATTAGGAGCAAGGCAAGAGTTCCTGTCATGAAGGATGTGACAGCTCTAGTTGGATGGGGAAGAACTCTGTGGCAAAATGAACAGTGTAAGCAGAAGTCGGGTGACATGATTTAATAGTGAAATGGAAAGTAGTTGGAAAGGTGGGTTGGGGACAGAGAATAAGGAACCACAGATGTGATACTAAAGAAAGTGGACAATCCCATATAGGGTGGTGGGAAGATCATGGCAAGAGGACACGTGGTTTGAATCTCATCTATTATTTCCTTAATTAGCTGTGACTGTGGTCAAGTTATTTAGCCTGTCCAAGCCTTGATTTCTGTGAAATAGGAGTAATATCTACTTAGCAGGATGGATGCAAAGTCCCTTAGCACAGAGCAGCCTCTCTGACCTAGCAGGGGGAGGCAGGGAAGGAGAGGGGTGCAGAGCCAGGGCTCTGGGGCCTGAAAGCCTGGGTCCACCCAGACTCTGGGACAAGTTACCCCATGCTTTCACCTTCCCATCTGTAAAATGGGGATAAGAGTCCTACCTCTTGGGGCTGGTGCCAGGAATGCCAGGCTGAGGGCTATCTATAACCATTGTTATCATTTATCTAAGGGCATCGGGGAACATGAAAGGTTTTGTAAAGCATAAAGGTGACACCAAGTGTGGCTGTAGTGTGGAGAATGGATGGTGGACGAGCGTAGAAACAAAATGCCAGCAGAGAAAAAGGCTGTGTTACTATTGAGAGGCGCGCAAAGGCCTGAGTCAATCCAGTCGCAGTGGAAATGAATAGGAAAATTTCAGAAGCACGGGAGAGGCAGAATTATCTCTTTGGGGGGATTGGGTTGCGTCTGCTCATCCACTGGGTGTAAGCTGCTAAGGAAAGGGTGGACGCCGAGTCCCATGGATCTAGCCTCCCTCCAAACGTATAAACACTTGCACTGTTGTCAGCACCCACGCGTCCACAACCTCCCTACCATGTCCACACTGTGTGCTCCTGTGATAGACAGCAAACTTCTGTTCTGTTTGCCTTTATTATGAAAAAGAACAGGAGCCTGGTGCTTCTTCTTAGCCATACTTTGAACCCCATACATTTAAACAGACTCCTTTCGCCCCAGGCTTCCTCATGCTGCCTTCACATAGAAGCACTTGGAAAGCACTAATCATTTCAGATGCTTGGTTCCCCCCTGCCCCCCAGTTTCTGACCAATTGTTCCGGGAGCAGCCTGGGCCCTGAGATTTTGTTAAAGGCCCCAGATGATGTTGTGAACAGCACAGCGCTAACATAGTGACACATAATTCCACGGCCATTCCTTTGGCACTGGTCCTGGGGTGAGCTCTGCAGAGCCGTGTTTTAACACAGGCACGGGCCCCTGTCCGTGACCGACAATGGGACATCTGTGTGCCCCTGTATTTCCCACATTCCATTCTGATTCCTGCTTCCCCTGTGCTTTTGAACCAAGCCAAGGCCAGCTCACAACTCAGTTATGTGGTATTATTTTTCAAATACCAAGTATTTACAATTGTCAAGAAAAGAAATTGAACGAGTTGTGGTCTCATTAAAATAGCTTTCAAATACTCCCAGAGACGTTCCTTCTGAAAAGCCTGGTGAGTAAAAACACAGGCTTCCTTGATTCACTCCTTTCCCTCAGAACACAAAGAAGCATGATGGAATATGTGGTCTAACGGAGGCTCCTCGTAGGTAATAGTAGGAGTATGGGAACCCCAAAAGAAGGTAGCCGGACTGCCTGGGAGGTGGGAGATTTCGGGGGCTTCTCACAAGCCTTTGTGCTGACTCTTGAGAGATGCCCAGAGGAGGCCGGATGCAGAAAAAGAACAGGGGCACATCTGGGCAGGGTCCCCTTCGTGCACTAGAGTCACTTCGAGCAGTTTGGTGTGTCTGCAGGCTGGTGACAGCCACCACAGGAGTAAAGGTCAGTGAAGGTGGGAGGAAGGGTGGGCAGGTGGGACAAGTTGGAGCACAAGCCCTATTTCATTTGTGCCATGAGGCGTAGTGACAGCCATACTAGGCAGCATATCTGAAACACGACAGCCACTCTATTTGAGCAGGTGTGCCCTGTCGTAAAATATCACGCAGGTATGGACATTTATGATGACAGATAAGGGTGGTGGGGATAAGAGACAGCTGTGGGCAAAAGAAAAATAATCAGCTCTTTGAGAGAGAGAGCTGACACCTGTGCCTGCAGCTTTCATCCTGCCTCAAAGCTGTTCTTGGTAGGGTGACCCGCAGGGGTGACAGGAAGTAGCAGGGTCTTTCCCTCCTTGACTCAGCCTCAAAGATGCCTGTGAGAGCAACACTTAAGATGCTTTGTGGATCAATTAGATTAGGGGCTAATGACTTCATGCACTTAAAACACAATTTTGAAAAGACGGACTAATGAAGTATGCAGGGGGCCATAAAACCCACTGTAGCTTCGTGTGCTAAAGGGTATAGCCGTCTTTACTTAGCAGGACTCATGGAAAATGTCCTGGTAATTAGAGACCAAGAAGCTGAAACTCTAGGAAGAAAAGGAAAGAGGAAGCATCCTTGCCCTGTGTCAAGTGGATATGAAGTTAGTATTAAAAGGATGCAATATTTATCAGGTTTGTACTACCACCTAAAAAAAAAAAAGGGAGCGAGGGCTTGCATCTCAGAATCTCCTGGAGCCCTTGGTAAAGATATAGATTCCTCAACCCTGAGATGACGCCCAGGGGTCTGAGGTTTTATAAAGTTCCCGGGGTCTCTAATGCCCAGTGGGCTGACTACCACACAACTGGCATTTCAGGGGTCCACGTATATACTCACCACCCGTCTAGAGCTGTGGTCTCACCCTCTGATGACAGCAAAATCACCCAGAGAATATCAGCCGGCCAGGCTCCAAGATGAGACTGTGAATTGGATGGTCTGAGAATTGATCGTTTGAACAAGCTCCCAGGTGATGCTGATGGTGCAGATCAGTGGGCCATGCTTTGAGAACCACTGCTCCCCTGGACACCCTCTCCCCAACAAGCCCACCTCACGTGGGATTAAAGAGCTTGTTTTTTAACTTGGATACCAATCGAAAGCACCCCTTCATTTCCAGTTCATAGAGGCATGCTCTCCACATATGGGAAACGTGAGCTGCTGTTTTGGAGGCTCACCTCTTAGGGTGCCTGAGGCATGCCCAGGCCAAAAGGCATGCTTCAGTCCAAGCTGTCACAAACGTCATAAGACAGGAGGCACCAGAGACCGTGTCCAGGTACAGGTGAGCCGTCCTGACCTTCCAAAGGGCCAAGGTTATCAGAAACGCAGGAAGAAGCCAAGTTCTTAGGAGCAGCTACTAAAGGTCAGGATTGCACTCGCAAGCCCTCCCACAGTCTGTCCACTTTCTTACTCTATCTGGACCTGAACTGGAATCACCTGGGGCTCTGAAACACACCACAGCTGTCTCCCCCCAACCAGGACCCTGATGTAACCTGAGAGCTGGGATCCGGCATGAGTGTTGTCAAAGCTCCCCAGGTGATTCTAATACTCAGGCAGGTAGAGAGAGGTTGTGTGCACAGACATACTGCAGCACGCCGCAGAGGGGGCGTGTATGCATGAGTGTCTGCAGCAGTGCAACCTGGCTACACCGGTGTGGAGTGGGAACCACAGAGCCTCAAATCTGGCTTTGACAGCACTTGATCAAGTCAATCGCCCTGAGCCTGTGTCCACATCTGTGCAGTTGGGACAAGACTTGCTTGAGTGAGTGTTACAAGATCACTCATCGGAGCAGCTGACACATAGTAGGTACACATAAAAGAGATGCCCTCATCACTGGTGTGCATGCTCTGTGTGACTTCCAGGTCAATTCCACACACAGCACCTGCTCCATGGGAGATGCAAGAAACCTATCTACGACTGGGAGACAGTGCCTGGCCTGTGGGAGCTTATTCTGGGAAGAGGTAAAAGACACAATCAAATAACCACACAGCCTCCAACAGAGGGGCGTATAGTAGTGTGGCAGAGGGCTCAAGCGAATGAGACTGTACTGCAAGTGGAGAAAAATATATCTGGGATACAATAAGGATGAACTGGATTTTAATAGA